GTGCGGGGGCGGTGCGGGGGCGGGGTTGCGGGGCCTGTGGCGGGCTTGCAGGGTTGGGCGGTGGGGTACCCGAGGCTGGGCGGCAGCGGGGGTCGTCCGACGGTGGCGGGGTTGGATGGCCCCCGCGGCGGGGGTCCGGGGGCCGCTGCCTCACACCGGCTTTGCCCCCGGGGATCCCCGCTCGACAACGCTGATTGCGGTATACGATCTATCCCTCGCATCAAGTGGCAACCGGTCGTATCCTGAGTACAGGTCTATCAGGGAGTAAATGCTCCGCCCGGCGTGAGATTCGGCAAGCAAGTCCGCCTGTGGGAGCGAGCCTGCATCCCTAATTGTAACCGCATTGAGCTTCTGCTAGTTCTGGATCCACCTGAGCGTCTTGTTGGGTTTCCGGAAAACGAACCATTTGTTCGCATAAGGGGATGCGGTGGGCTCAACCACGAACGAATCTATTTTGGCTCTAAGCAGGTCAGTGACTTCCGCTGCTATCCCAAACTCGTAGGCAGACCCTTTATCATTCCARCATTCATGCTCTATCGTGTGGATCCTAACCGGAGGAACTAGCTTTGCGTCCAACCGCCCTTTCTGGTGATCATTGAAAGCAAAAACTAAATGGAACTCCTGACACGCCTTCCTTATCAACTGAGTTTCCTCCGCTGTTAGAAACCCTTCCACTCCTATTTTCATGGTATCTGCTACCTCATCTGGTATGAGATGCCCTTCCATTGCCCGCCTCTCCCTTATAACCCGTAGGATCTCTTCTTCTTTTTTCATGACCTCTTCCCTTGATGTTTCTACTAGGATCGAGACCGGTTTGGCCTTATTCCCTACGGGTTTGTACTTTCGCACACTCTCTTCTGGGATTGTTCTCCTAAAAAATGAACGGTCGGGATTGGCCTTGCCACCTCCATGGCTTGGGGTTGAAGACTAACAACCTTCCCATTGAGGCAGTAGCCTTTCTGGATTTCTTCTTCAAGTCTTGCAAGTGTTGTCGGATCTACCCCAACTTTATGGTACCTAATAGCTTTGATGAGCTGCAGCAAGTCAGGGATTTCGAGTACTACTTTTGTCGTTTCCTTCCGTCCCTCCTTTGGCTTGGGCAGGTTGGCCCCAAGTTCAATCCCCGACTCCTTTTCTGCGAGCATGAGTCCTAGGACCTCGTTCTCCTGTCTCCTTTTCTTTAGAGACAGCCCCATTTGATCCATTCCTTTTTGCTAAACACTTCCTCAATCATAATTTCTACCCTTTCCCTCATGCCTTCCATTCGTGCGAATGTGCCTTTCCGTGCACTTTCTTCAAACGTCGACGACCAGGTTGCCAGCTTACCCTTGGGGGGATCCCCTCCAGTTCCGAGGAGTCGGAGGAGTTCTCCGCGACCAGTCACCGGATCCTCTATGTCTATCATATACGTGCCATCATGCAGGTGCATGCCAATCATTTCTACATTGGCGCACCATGGTCTCCCAAGGATTATGTCATGGTCCATTTCTTCCATGACGGTCATCCGTTGGAAAGACCAGATGGATTTTCGAATTCCTACCCTGACCGCGCATTTGGTGACATACCCAGTGAAGGGAATTTCTCCCCCCGCTCCCCTGATACTCCCTGTTACCTCCTTGTTCACTGTGCACCCCGTGATTGTTGCGAAATCCCGTCGTATGAGGGTAATTTCTGCGCCGCCATCCACTAATGCATCGGTGTGGTGAGTTCCGATCAGGACTTTAAGTTTTCCTACAGGCAGTGCGTGGAAGCTAAGTTTAGTGCCAGGCGGTGCTCTCATGGCTTCGCCACCTTCTCGGTCCGGTAGATTCATACGAATATCGGCGAAGGCTTTTTCCAAATCTTCCAGGCCCCCTGGAATGCTTTGGAGGTTAGAGACTCCTTCTGGCGCCTCGGCCTCCTCGGGTCCTTGTTCCTGTGGTTCCGGAGCCTCCTCTACTTTTACACATTTACGCGTCAATAGTTGCCGAAGGCCCTTGAGCAGTCTCGGGCTAGCCTACATCATGGTCTGGAAGGATACCGACATCATGGTGCCCAGGAGTTTGCTCAGAGTGTCATCTTATTCGGGCAGCGTCAGAATCGGGATCTGGTACCTGAACTTCTTCTTTGCCGCTGTGGCTTTATCTACCGGTTCCTCTTCCCTCGTTTTTTCATAAACCTTCTCCTGTTTTCCGGCCTCAGCTTCCTCCTGATCTGCTCTAGCCCCCGCGGCTTCTTCCATTACTGTGTCTCGGATGAACTTTTTTTCCGCGTCAGCCCGTCGGGTAGTAATATTTACCCTATCCTGCCCATTACCTTCCAGGATGAAGTTGACCTGGGGCCCGCACTCCCTTGGTTGGTCCCAGACAAACTCAGCTACCGGCTCTGCTTCTACGACAGCTATATCCAAGTTATTCAGGAGGATGACGGCACACCGCATTCCTCCTGGCGAATTCCAGTTTACGCGCTCTCCCTGAGGTCCGAGAATCTCACCTTTGAGGGACCTACTGCACCTCTGTCTAATGATGTCGTGGTTGAGTCTCGGACATGTCCTCACGAAATGCCCGACCATTGTACAATATTTGCGTTGTTCATTGGCCGGGTCCCTTCTGGGGAAACCTCGATTGGCTACTGCTGTCGGTATTACGGCTTCTTGGGGCGGGAGGGCGGGCCGGGACACCTGTGCCTGCATTACTAATAGCGCATTTTCCATTCTGTCCATCTTGCTGTCAACCCCGTGCACCCTTTCATGCAGGCTCTCTATTCCCTTTTTGACCTTATCCCCCGTCTTCCCGGTCAGTTCTATAACCTCCCCTTCCTTAAGCAGAGCCAAGGTCTCAGTTACCACTGTCTTCTCTGCAAGATCTGTTACCGTACTGAAATCCACATCCCTTGTGTATTCAAACTTGCTGGTCTGCTGGTATGCTGATAAAATTTTATCCTTATCAAACTCAGAGAACTGCCTGAGAAAGTATTTACTCATTGTGTGGTCCGTTACCCAGGGAATTCGCAGAGCCACTAACGTAAACGCCCTTAGGAAATCGTTGTAGGTCGCATAGTTTTTCCTCTGGACTGCTGCTCATTCGGCCTCTGTTGCCATTTTCTCTGCCTTCACGTATTTCCTCATCATCTCGTTCCTGATTTCTTTCCAGGATCCACTGGAAGCAATGATGGTCATGATGTCCCTTCCCAAGCTTAGCGACACGTGCTGACCTAGGTGATCCATTTTTTCCTCTTCCGTCCATTTCAGTAAGGCTGCTAGGTTCTCATAGTCTATTAGAAACTCCGTAATGTTTCCCCCATCGAACGTGAGTTTCTTCTTTGCATCTGAGAGATACCCCTGGTTCTTGTTTAGTGTCCGGGTGAGGGTGGCGACTATCCTCTTGAGACCACTTTCGGAGCTACCCGCTTCTCCAGCAGCACTAGTCCCTTCCCCTTCCTTGCTTTCCCTCTGCTTCTCTCTGGTTTTCGACGTTCCTTATGGGTCAAACCATCCTAGCACCCTTTCCCTAAGGCTCCAGAGTCCGTCGCACGCCCCTGTTATTTTCGGCGTGGCGGGCAGTCGGCTAGTGCCGCTGTCAATGGCGGGCAGGGTCATAGCGTTTTCCGTCCCTTCCGTCGGGGGGTCGTCCTTGTCCTTCCCCTTCTTGTTAGGCGTTCCCTTGTGACTATTATCCTTCCCTCCATACCTGGCCTCGTCCTGACCGGTCCTGCATCCCTCACGTGACCCAGCGCCCTGGGGGTTCTCCTCATCCCCGACCATCATCTGCTCGATAAGCCTTGCCTTAAATTCTGCAGTCCGCTTTTCTATCTCTGTCAGTTTACGACGGACATCCGAGACTTTCGTCTTTTTAGGGGTGGTTCCTGTTGAGTTCCGAGGACTTGTTCTCATATCGTTTCCCCCTTCCCTGTTTTCTTGAGGTCCCCTTTTGCTACCCCCAGCTTTCCCCGAGCTTTCTCCAGTTGAGAGGTCCTTCCCGTCTTCTCGGGTTCCTTCCAGTTTGGCTGACTCTCGATCCCTCGCTGATCCCTCATTTCGTTCCCCATCCCCATTCGTGCCCTGATTCCCTCCACTCTGCTGGTCATCGATCCCCTCTTCCGTCGCCATTCCTTTACCTAGCCTGCACATGGAAAAAAAAAATTGCGAAAATTGGACGGTTGTTCATAACTCCCCTAGTCCCGGCCCTAGAATCTTGCTGATTCCCATGCTTCTTGTGCCTTACGTTACTCGGTACGACTTTCCTGACTTTTCTTGCCCAGCGCGTCCTTCATGTTTTTTTCTGTCAGGGGACTTGCCACCGCTGTTCGGCATTTTATTACCGTCGCGCTTTGGCTCTTAGGGCGGTGTTTGGGCCCAGTGGCTTCCTTATCGAGGATGGTCCATTTGGCTTTTCGACCTCCAAATGCCCCAGAGTTTTCTGGTGCGGGTGGTCTTCGTAGTTCCTCCTTGCCGCACTATCGGGTCGGACGGAACTCCAACCACTGCCCCCCCCCCTTTTTTGCTGATGGCTGCCTTCTTATCTTAGTACCCATCCCTTATTTCCCTATCTTTCCTCGACACGTTTTCTCATGCTGGTCCCTCAGGCCTGCCTTGCTCATCTGGTTCCTCGAACAGGTCAGCCACCCCAGCAAGATAGTTTTCTCCCATCTCTATTTCCCTGACGATTATCGGTTCATATTCCTCAAAAGTCAGGCGAGGCAAATCGAATATCAAAATTTCAATGAGGTCAAACAGTTTCAAGGCTTGATTCCTCCAGAACGACCCATTCTTGACCGATACGTCGTAAAACATTCCGGTCGTTTGTGGTCGGAAGTGGTGGATCCAGACTAGAGTCGAATCCATCAGGTCCTTGACTCTCTTGAGGGTACCAAATACCAGATCCACCATAAAGCGGGGAACTCGGCACCTCAACCCTGTCATTGGGGCCTTGAACTCCCGCCAACCCCCTACCTCCACCAAGGTTCTCAATCCCACGTTTCTTCTCCCCCGCACTTCCTGGCCTACCCGGTTGAGTGCCCTAGTAGCCCTCTGGATGATTGGTAACAACCTGTGTCCCAATGCCAATTTCGTTCCCAACATGTACCACCCCAGTTCCGGCAGATATACGGTCCCTGTCACCCTAAGGTCGGTGTACAGATCGTCCCCTGGTCCCCTATTAATCCTCATCCCATCCCACAAACATTCCACCATCATGAACGCCTAATTCCTTCCCAAGGTCACGACCCTCCATTCGGTATCCAGTCCTCGGACCATGTAGGTTGTTGGGAGCGATACCTCCCATCCACCTCCACTTTCCGTGGGTGGCCGCAGGTACGTGGGCCGTCGTGACATCCGGGCGCGTCTCGTCACCATTTTTGGCTTAATGGTCCCTTGCACAGTTTAAACAGCAAGCGAATTTACTTATTTTATTTAATCTTCAGCTCTTGCCCGAATATTCCCCGGTCTTTAGCTTGAAGCTTCTTTTCCTCTCTGTTCGCTTTCCTTTCCTCAACCCTTTTACTGGCCCGTTCCTACTTCCGTCGGCTCATACAATCGGCACAGATCATCCACGTACGCCATCCCTCGACTTATTTCCTGTCGAACGACACCCCAGAGGACTTCACTACTAACGACCGGAACCCTTGGCCTAGTACTAAACACAGCGCGCAGGATGCGCAGCACCTCATACCTCTGTTCACCACTAAACGGCCCCATTTCTAGGAAGGCCTGATAATATTCTCGATGTACCATCGCATCTTCATACGTCAGATTTGCGAGGTCGGCTACCGCTCGTCTAACAAGTTCCAGACCGCCCAATCTCCCCAACAGGAAGGGCGGCAACCTCATTCGTACATTCGCACTAGGCAATTCAAAACTCCCGACCATGGCTACCCTAAGGTCCGCTGTTACATCGTCACCTCCTGGATCCGCGAACTAGAATCCCACTCGCCACACTAACTGTCATGCCCCTTCGAACATACTCAGCGGGTCTTCTCCTGATGCCAACCAGACTTCGAACTCCCGCCACCCGTCCTCTGATACATACAGCTGCCCTTCCGCCCGCACATGTCCCCGCGGGTCCGGGTTCCATTCCCCATTCTCATCCGCACGCCATTCAACCCTCGTCACTAGGTAAACCATGTTTTCCACAAGTTCAACCCCGACCCAATCCACCACCGGGTGCCATCCCGCATTTGCGGTGGGAAGGCTAATTTCTATCCTACCATCCACATCCCTAGGCGGCTCAATGCCCAACGGGCGGTCTTTAAGGAACGTCCTTCTTCGCGCCATCTGCGCTCTCGTCCTTGGTCTTCTCTCTCGCAATCCACCCTGAGTCATACAATGGCCAGACATCCCAATCTCTTATCTTAGCAATTTCCTCATGCCTACCTGGCCCCACGACTTTATTGCTCTTTTTAGTCGAACCACATCACCTCAAATAGTTTGAACACATCATCTACATAACACGGTGTCGCTGCTACTTCCCGGCGGATTATGGCGTCCCTAATTTCCGAGGCTACTTCCAACCGGTCATTCCTCTCGATGTCCAAAATGGTAAGGACCTCCCGGGCTCTGTCGCCATGGAAAGGTCCGAGTTTCAGGGACGTTTTATAGAATTCTTCTGCCAACCATGCACAATTTACGTGTATCCGCTTCATAGTGCCGGCTACTTCCGCAACGTGATCAAAGCCCCCAAACTAGTCTGCCACAAATTTCGGCACCCAGGTCTTGGTCCGGGCGCAGGGAGGTTTAAATTCCTTCCATCCTCCCATCACGACTCTACTACTGACCTCATCCCAGCCTTTGTTGGCGAACCTTTCTCCTGCCTTTCGAGTCCTTGCCTCGGCACCCTCCAAAAGCCACATCGAATTTTGTCCCGCTGCAAGTGTGGTGCAGAACAGATGTCACCCCTGCGCTGACAAGACGACCGTCCCAACGGACTCTACTCTCCCTTCTGCGATATCCTCCCATCCTTCCTCTTCCCTCAACGGGTTTCAGACACGTTCTATCCATAGGTATGATAGCTCTGGCACGATCTCATACCCCCGCCAGTCACACGCGGTCCCCTTCCATTCATTACCCATCGGTATAGACATTTCCCCCCCACCTCTGGTTCGCCTTGGTTCCCATGTGCAGTCCCATAGCAGAAATTTCCGGGCCATCGCTCCCTACGTGAACATAGTCGACAGCCCGTCCCTAGGTAAGTCCCCGGCCCCCTTTTCAGAAGTTCCAATCCTCTACTTCGTCCTCATCCGCACTATCACTGAAATTCTCCTCCCCTTCTGAGAACAGCTCCTTTAGTCCCTCTAAGAAGGTTTCCCCTGCCGCCACATTCCGATAGATTATCTGTCAATGCACCGGGCTTGAGACAAAGATTTCATCCGCGCTGAGGAGGTTTAGTACCTCAGCTAGTTCCTCTGCCTAGTTCCCCTCAAACGGCCTCACTTCCACCGACAGTCTAAAGAAATCCTGTCGAGCACATTGGTACAGTGTCAAGCGCGTCATCGACTGGCATATCCGCTTCAGTCTATCCCTGGTCCCAAAGACCACATCCACCAAGAACGGAGGTAACACACACCTCATTGTCCTAAGGGGGCGTCTCATATTTTTCCAGTCTCCGAGTTCCACTCGCACCTCCATCTTTTCCATCTCCATTTCCGCCCGCTGACATGCCGCCCATACCACTTCCCGTTCCGCTTGCTTAAACAACTGATCTGGTGCCGTGCCCAATACTAGTCCCACTACCATTGCATTTTCCGTTTCCTGAGATACGTAGACCCATCCTCGAGCTTCCACCGTTCCCTGGAATTCTAGGTCCATCAGACTCGGTGAAAGTCTTGTCAGGCTGACCTTAGTCCAGATTGTCTCCATCCAGAGGAACGCGTCCTTCTCGTCCAGCTTCACGGTTTCATATGCTGGTTTTAGGTATGTCCACGTTCCTTCCTCCGAGAGGACGATAGATACCCCTTCCCTTACATCTATGGGCATTTCCGGACCGCTAGAGTAGACAGGGGGCGACAACCATCGCGCCATCTTGTTTTTCCGGCGCCTATCCTGTTTCCACATGAGAGCACCACACGGCCCCGCATGGTCAGATTGCCTTCCGGCTAGATGAGAATCATTTTCAGACCCCTCCCCTGGGTCTCCTCAGCATTTCCTACCTATGTCCCAGATGTCGTTACCCCATCATACCCTCGATCGGTCATCGTCAGCCGGCATTCCCTTTTCTTGGTTCCATTTCCTTCCGACTCCTATCCAACCTTTATTATCATGTTCTCTCACTCGTGTAGACTTAGACTTGGAGGTAAGAATAGACTCAGAAGCTCAGCCCCCATCCAACAGTCATCAGACACCTTTACAGAGGGAGGCACAAAAAAGCAAAATTCAGGCAAACGTCGCACACAAGTCGGTCATCTCCTCACCGACTTTTTCCCCGGAAATAGTCTCTCCACTGTTACTATCGACAGAGTTTTATCCCATACCTTAAGCACAGCTCAACCGTCGCGAGCGCCGCGCGGTACCCAGACTCTGGTGGGGGTTCGCCCTCACCTTCTTGTCCAGAATACCCCATCCCGACTTGCCGCTCGTGTACCCACCGTTAATCTCGGGAATCATCCCGCACATCTCGGTAGGGCCATTGGAGCCAGCCGTCTAGGCACTCACTTCCATCGGTCCGATAAGGAACAACCTATCCCAAACCAAGCTACGAGAAGCTACTAATCGTCCTCGAGGCTCCGTTTGTGCCCACATGTAGTGGTACTCCCTCCGCAAGCCAACATGCTAAGCCCCGTTTGAGGAGATTTCACACCCCGCCTGACAGATCATCGAGCCAAAACTCATCACTGCTCGAACGAGAATGCTACTAATCAACCGACGTGACAAACTCCCGTCCGACAGCTCGGTGGCCTGACCTCCACACACGAACCCACAGCAGTCTACAAAAGAGAGCGACGTTTGGCAACCCGGTGCAGACCCTTCCTTTCCTTCCAAATGGCAGGCACTCAATATCCCCAACATGCAAACACAAGTCCCAAGTGGGACACACATAGTACAAGTGCCTTTCCCTTGGTGCACCCAGCGCTTCCTACCCATTGCTCACAGGTTTTCACTCAGGACAGTGTGTGCCACTCACGCCTAACTTCCATACATAGTGCCCGGTTCCTTTTCGTGAGCATCTTCAAAGGTGAGCTAGTTTTCTTGGAGTCTAGCAACTCCCTTCATTCTCTTTATCTTCACTTATCTGTCCATTCATAGGGCAGGATCGTTCCTTCTTGATTACCCATTTTGTTCATATGAGGTTCCTTCAAGCATTTAAGTGCGGTGCACAGAGCCCGTTGGGCTCTGAAGAAAAAGAAAGAAAGCACCCGTGTCGGCCGGATCACTCCGCCGCGGACTTTCTATCGGAACCCGGACTAGCCCGGAATCCCAACCGCCTGCCAGGTAACCGGAGCCTTTCTTTCAAACGAAGAGGAAGGGTCGACCTGCGGCTTGCCCAAGGCTTCCCCGGTCTGACGATCATCAGCCCGAGAGAAGGAGGAGTAGAGTCACCTCCAAAGGAGATGGCTGATTGTGTGTGCAACATGCACGTTATACCTCCAGGCCTGACCTTGCCATGCGCCCACCCGCCCTCAAATCTGCTTCACTCAAAGGGATAGAGCATACACAAGTCCATATTCCTTATCTTCAGTTATGTACACGGTCATGCGTCGGGCGCCCCCCTCGAGATCGTCAGGGTCAGTTTAACCCATACCCGGCACCTCCACCATTTTTGTAGGGGCCGTACCCTGAAGGACTTTCGAGTCTGAGTCGACCCCACTGCAGGTCCCATTTGGCTCGACCCACCCACGCTCACGCTCAGGGCGCGGGTCGTTCGTTCCAGGGACATCCCCACCTAGTGCTTTCAGATGGATGGGGATGGGCCTTTTGCGAAAGGGCTTTATATTGGGAGATGTAGCTCCGCTCTCGATGGTAGCTCTTTGGGCACTCGTGGCGTTTGCTTGATTCTTTTTCGTCTGACCAGGCAATTGCTCCTTCCAATACGCAGGCAATCCAGAAAATTCATTGAGAGCTTATCTTTATTTCGTGTGTAGGCCAAGCGTCATCCATTGGACCACACACCTTTTCACTAAGCCAAGCGACTCAAGACTGCCTCTGCGGCATCCTCGAGGTGGAGCGGCACCGCCCGGACCCCTAGCCGATATATATATATATATATATATATATATATATATATATATATATATATATATATATATATATATATATATATTTTTGCTCGAGCCGCTAGCGTCGCATTCACCTATCCGGAGCTGCCCTTAGTCTTTCCGGGCCTGGTATTGTACACAAGAGAGTCATCCCAGTCAATCACCATGCAACCCATACCGCGTCATCCGCCATTCATCCAAGCATCCAACCCTCAATCACTCCCCACATTCATAGTTAGGCTAAGTCTAAACTCTTCCCTTATCTCGTTCCTCCCTCCTTGCTCGTGTTTTCTGCGGATCCCATCCTGCTCAACCCATCCTAGACACTCCCCTGCACAAGACCACGCGAACAAAGACCAAATGCAATCCCCATTGGGGTCAACACATCGCCCCTTCCCACATGCCTAAGTTTCCTTTGCCTTTGTGGTTACTTGGGTTGTCTTTCCTCTTCCCTCAAGCAAAACCATGCCTTCACCTTAGTCATGCAGTCGGGGAAGATGGTGGAGTGGAACTGACCTTGTCACAAAAACAGCACTCCTTTCCGGCTTTCACAGATGTTCCCAACAGTCTGGTATCCTTTCCTTCCTGGTGTCACAAGGGACCGACAGTCTTTCCCTTGCCCTCGCTTTCCACCAAGTGAGGACCAAGTTCTTTTCCGTTCGTCCCCTGGC